ATTGTGAAGCCAACCAACCGACACTAACTTCCGGTGCTGTATGCAATATAACGGAACAGGCGATGCCTTTGATGCGCCCACGTAGTATACTATAAACAGAATTAAACCAGCAAGGCAAGCTCAGTTTGATTAAGGCCCAGTTTACACAGCAATGCAAATAACAGTGCCAAAGTACACATGTATATACTTGATCAAAGCCTAACTGTTATTATACTAAGCAAGGAGCCTCTATACAATAACAGTTATTATATACCAAGTAAGAATTTCCCCACCCATTGATGACCATGCATAAGGATTCGGGTGACCTTTCAAGGAAAACCATAAAGAAAATTAAAACTGGTACTACAGGAATGTACATACATGTATGTAACACATTGAATGTTTTAATGTTTTAGGTTCAGAATATGTCTGCACATGTTGTGACCATACTGAGTGCTATATAATACAACTGTATACCCAAGAATTAATTACATCTACATATAACCAGAATAAAATACAAAATACCTCTAAAATTGGAAGATAGGGGTTGATAATATTTGTTGACTTGAATGTCTGAATTACATGGACATCTGTGTTTATCAAGGTCTTTAGTACCTATACATTTTTAAGGCTCAAGAGGATCCTATGCAATTTTCTAGCTGAGTTTCATTTAGGAATGGGCAGGGAAAGCAATCACCCCCCCACTTGGCTACCCCTTTAAAGTACTGCTTTACAATTACTCACAGTGACTCCATAGCTGTTGCAGGATATTCACAATGCCATAGACACTAATGAAAGAATAATAAGAAAAACTTTTGTTTGTACATCAATATACTGTACTATATTACACACACAAAGTTAATACCACTTCACTCTATTTGTACTCCCTTCATTTTAATAATTCAGAAATTCACTCTTCACATACAAATCTGTCACTCCTCTCTTTACCTATTAAGGGTCCAAGGCTCCAACCTAATGAATTGGAAAGACTATCAAAATACTAGTGACCTAAATGTACATGAAACAAGTAATTACTAATACTGTACGACAAACTATTAACTGATTCTACATTAATGTACTTCACTGTACATGTACATGTAGCCAGCAGGCCAAACATAGCTACATTGTAATAAACTGAGTCAGTTAATACAAATCATCAGTTAGGGATTCAGTCCCGAAAGATGGTTAATAATATAATGTTGTATCATCATTCTCAGTCAACAGTTAATTTAAAGTAGATGGCATTAGTAACATGCAGAAATTCCTACAGAATTTTTGGCATAATGTTCCTGCAGTTTTTTGTCAGTGGTGGTATTGAGATACTCAAAAATTAGGCCAAACACCCTGTACTAAAGTACAGGAATTTTAGCCAAACTTCATCAAAAATGAAAAGGAGAAAAAATTCCATTTTTATAATTTTTTCTGATACATATACATGTACATATGTTGTGCAGAAAGTTTGAACTGATTCTGATTAAGTTTGGATTTTATACAAATTCTTGAAGGTGCTCAAAAATTGGGTTAAGGTTCCCTGTACTACAATATCATGTAAAAATGGCTCATACCTCCCCTCAATGTTTATTAAATTTTCTGATGCATATTGATGCACATGTATTGTGTGTATATGTGAAGTGTTATGGGAAGTTTTAATAACATACAAGTACATTATGCTGTCTATCTCGTGATGCAGAAAGTCCAAAAGGTAGAGAGCTGTGATCAATCCTGTGGGTTATGATGCCTTACAGATGATACACATCTGCTTCAGGTAAAGATTGAAAGGTCTAACAACGGAACACACAAAGATCAAATCAACCTCCTAAATGCTTAGAAAATTAATTTAAAATTATTTTTTAAAACTACCATGTAGCAGGATTTATTGACGAGTAAAAAATTTGATGAAAACAATAAATGTTCCAGGTTGGCGAGTTTTAATTTGACGAATAGTGCCCTCTGTGTACACGTGGCACAAAGTACAAAATTTTTGACGGGTATATAATTTGATGTTTTATTTTAAACTGTCAACTCGTCAAAATAAAACCTTCGTCAATAAATCCCGCTATACGGCATTTTGTACCTGATTGAAATGTAAAATTTGACTAAGAGAGCAAATCAATATAGGGACTGACACTATCAATAGAAGACTTTTTTATCTAAAAGTTCATGACATCATAATTACATCACACAGTATGTTACTAACTTTAGCTTCAACAAAACACCTGCTAACATCATCTCTCTCATTTGTTTCAAGTGGGCGTGGTTCTTCGTAACTAACAGCAACAACTTCAACGAGCACTTTCTCTTAAAAAATTTCTAAAACATCACCTAGAAGATGGAGAGAGAGAGAAAGAGTGGTACTATACGTTATTAAATAGTTAATTTTTTAAATTTTAATTACTGTCTCGAAGTCAGTCAATCGTAGTCTGCCAAGTTTTTAAATGTAGCTCTTCTACTCAAAATTCCATTGATAGATAAATACTGTATAGCTGGTAATTTTAAAATACTAAAATTTTATAATATTAAAAGGGACAGTACATGACCATCAGTAAATCAATCCTTTATTTACTTCTCTCAAGACTCCAAGCTCGTTACAAATCCCTCGTAAGAAAGATAAGAAATGTAGTTGTTGTTAATATGAAAAACTAAGAATGAGAGAGAAAGAAAAGTACTTTGCTATTATTATTATTTCTGTGCTTTTATTTAAGCAATACAGCATACATTAAAATAACAATGCTACTCAAAATTCCATTGATTGAAAAGTACCGTAAACAGCTGGTAATTAAAAAACACTAATACGATAAATTTGCAATACTAAAGCGACAGTACTCCAAGCTCGTTAGGGACTCCTCAGTCGTAACATCAAGAGTATCCTTGTAGGACACTTACTGCTCCAGTGGTTCCTTTACTATAACAATACGAGGCCATCTTGTGTTGAGGCCCCAGCTTCTTTAGTGAGTCGTCATTTTGTTCCAGTGTCTCTGTGTTAGTCGTTAGAGTCAAACCAATGTCTTCAGCAACTTGAACCGTGCTAGGATTATCTCCTTCCCGTTAGATGAAGCAACACTAAGCTTGTCCCATTCTTGACAATAAGACACTGATGTAGGTTCATAAGTTTGATCTCATGGTGTATAAGAATTTTCACTAAAAGTAACTTCAACTTTATCCATACGGTCAGCTCAGCGAGAGACAATTTCTGAGAAGTCATAAGTCAGAGTCATCATCATAAAGTAGTCAAGAAACAAAA